TAAAACAGTATCCTCCTTCCAGCCTCCAAGAAACCTCAGCATTAAAGGTGATCCTTGCAATCTGTTGTAGAGATTTGTGAAGCCCTGAGTGTTTGAGGAGCAGCCGTGTGTTCACCGCCAGGATTCCCCGACAGGAATGGGATTAGCAAAGCTCTGGTGGTGGAGCTGCTTCTGGGACAGACATTGGGGCATGCAATCAGCTGGAGACAAGCTGAGACCTAAATTCATATTGAGTTAATACCTGTGACACTGATAGAGCACCAGAGATCACAGTTCAGAGGAGGAACTGAACCAGGAGTATCCCTGGAGTTGGTACTGAAGCACTCCTTAGCTTTGCTTTTGCTTCTTTGGCAGCTCTTCCCCGTGAGATTAAGTTTGAGAATAGCTTCACTGTTCTGTTTCACTGAAATTCTCAGATAACTGGCAAACAGCAACTGCTTGTTTTCTGAAGCTGTGATGCAGAAAAATGTGTTTGGAATAATTCTTGCCATTTTTTAAAACAGAGGAAATTGTTAGCCATTCTTTTGCTGAAATATTACTAGACACAAAATGAATTGTTGAGGTTGATACAAGGAAAGAGGGCGTAAAGACTGAAGTACTGGCAGTGATATTATATAAAGGGAGACACAAATACACTTATTTTGTTGTCAGCTTTGTGTATGTTGAAGCTTTCTGTGTTTTGCTATAAACTTGTGACTTTTTCCTTTTTAATGTGTGTTCAAGGGAGGCAGTGCTGGATGCTTCAGCAGCAGAAGGGTTTTCCTGTTAGTCAGGACTTGAGTGTGGAGCTGTGAAAAGCTCTGGGACTGAGTGTTGCAAAGGTGAATAATATATCTTTAGCCTTCATATGTGGTGGATGTCATGATAGCTGTAGGATTGCAGTGCTTCCAAGGGAATCTCTCCTGCTCCCTGCTGTTTTCCATGGTGCTGGTACAAATGTTTCTGTGGCTTTGCAGTGGGCTGGAGAGTAAGGAATGTGGTTTTAAAACTGAGCTTAAAACATAAATCTAGTTTTGTTTCCCCTTCATGTGAACCAAGGAGAGAAGAAGGGGGAATGAATTAATAAATGAAAGGTGAGACTGCTGCTTTTGACACTGGTTCAGGGAGGTGAAAATACAGTGTAAGTACAACCTGAATTTTGCTATGTGCGGAGTATGTCTACAGGATTCTACCAAATATGGGATCAGAATGTACTTACAAGGGAACATTTACTCAAGTCTGATTTTGCTTCTGCAGCTTTATTGTTTAGTGAGCAAAGATGTGCTGTTTGACTCACTAAAACTATGGAAACAACTGAAGTGCAGCATCTCATCTGTTTATAGCCAAGTCTGTCATTTGGGCTGGTTTTCATCCAAAAATGATGAGGTGTGCTGTATATCTGTCAGTAACAGACAAGAAAAGCAAAGTTAAATTACTCCTTCTTTTTTTTTGTCTGGGGGAAATCCTACCAGCGAAAATCAGGAGTTGTTAAGTTTTAGTCTTTTGGGACGTAGTTTGCATAGGTATGCAGAAGTATATCAGTTTATGATGCTTGAATTTTGATAGTATTGCAAAAGAAATTGTCTACATGCAGCACCTTCAATGTCAACTAGTACATACCTTAATTCTAAGGGTGACTTCCCTGAGTTGAAGTGAAATTTACTGAGCTGCAGGTCAAGATTTAGAGCTGCTGTACCAAGTAACAGAACTGTCATTTACTCTTTACCACTGGCTAGGCTGGATTTTTTTTTTTAAACAAAACCAAAATAAACATAAACCAAAAAAGCTTGTGTAACAAGCCTTCTGACAAATAGTTCAAAGCTTGTTGCTAATCTCTGAAGCAGACAAGTCCTTGTAGTAGTACAAGTAGTACAAGACTTGTAGAAAGTAGGAACTTGCCACAGTGGACTGTGGGAGAGAGCATGTGTGGTCTTGCTCTCCAGACATCCCTGAATCCAGGCAGAGGAGAGGCTTTCATTGCACATCCCAGCCATGGGAAAAGCTTAATTGGAGTTTGCAGCTCATTGTATACCAAACTCTTCAAGTGTTTGATGTAAATCTGTAGGAAACTGTCTTTGGTAATTATGGTGCCCCTAGCCCATGCCAGCACCACTCCCTTATTTGCAAGGAATAGTGCTATCAACTGAGATAATTATCCCAGGAGGTTTCATGATGCAGCTTGTCCCAGTACTGCTGTCCCTGAGAAGCATTTGGAAAAATACAGGACTGCTCCTTCCACGTGTGGTGGTCTGATGAACATCTGGAGAACTTCCAAAGTGCCCCACAGATCTGTGTGGGGACAGGGATGCTCTCAGAAATGATTGTTTTGTTGCTGTGACATAGATTTTTTTTTTTTTCCTAGTTTGTTTATTAGCTGGAAACAACATTTGTTCCAGGCTTTTTGGTGGGTGGAGAGTTCCAGCTGCAGGTTCTTTTGGTAGTACTGAGAGAAGCAAAAAGTTGTGTGCTCGGGTGCTGGTCCCTAAGCTGGTCCTGGAGCTTTTGGAAAAGTGCAGAGGAGAAGGGAAATGGCTCCTTGTGGAGTGGCTTTGTGAGAGGAAATGATTGGGAATTTGTGTCCTCAATCCTTGTCCCTTTTCCACATATGATTCCATCTCATTCCATCTCTCATTCCACTGGTTGTTTTTTTTTCCCCCCTTCTAGCATGTGTGTGTCCCTAGGAATTGTCCCAGCTCTTTCTACCACTGTTGGATCAAAATCAGACTTGGAGGTCTATAATTGAAGCATAACAAATCATAAAATTACCACTCAGTTCCTCCTGCCCTTTGTGGAAATGAAATGTAGAAATGTGGGCACAAGGAGAACCTTCCTGAGAATTTATCAGTGCTAATCAGGATGAATGAGTTCAACCTTCACTTTGCTTGTATTTGAATACTCCAAGAGATCTTTTAACCTTGAGCTTCTTTATTTATGTATTTTAAAAGTAATCAAACCCCACAGAGACCTGAAATGGAGTGGACTGCCCCAGTTAAAATTGTGTTCTGAAAATGAGGGGAAAAAACCCCCAAACAAGAAAACCCTACTTGCCTGGTTTTAACTTCCAATAAAAGTACTTTAATTCAGTACTGTTAAGCAGTTACACAAGTATAAGGAAAAATCAATAATTACAGAATTTAAAGCTAGCAATGTTAATATATAGTACTATATATTGACATATAATATGTTAATATACAGTACTCTATATTAACATATTATATCACTATATATAATTTTATATGTTATATATATGATTATAATATATACCATATTCCCTATTTTTGAGGGAATTGTTACTTTTTGAGGTTTCCAGATAAAAATACTTGTAGAAAGAATGTTGTCTTCAGCAAGTTAAAGCTTGCTGCCATATCCTTGATAATAGTGTCTTTGAAAGAAAGCATGTGCATATACCCAGGGAAATTCAAGTGGAGAATCAAATAACTCCTATTTGAAGTGCTGGTATTTAAGCTGCCTGTGGAACATTTTGATGTTTCTTTCTAGAGATTGGTCTCTTGTGATGAGGATCCACAGGCTGCACTTCTCTGGAGTAGAGTTAATAGCAAATTTCCAAGGTGCAAGTAGGCCTGGCATGAAATAGTAGTGATTTACTCCTGTTGGTTTTCTGCTGTGTTAGGGAATCTCCTTTAATATTCCAGAAAGACTCAGTAGTTTTCCCTGTGAAAATGGGAGTGAGAGGACAAGTTCAGCTGGAAGTCTCTCAACTTTCTATGTGGCTTTAGCATCATGTATTAAACATGCATTTTTTAAATGTCTGGGTTTTAAGTTCTAGAGCAGTGAGATTTGAGATAATTTTTATCTTAAATCTATTCCTGCTTGTGCTCAGTCATTCAGCAGTCCTGCCTTTGGGATTCCTAGAAGGGTAGGAGGCTCTCCAAGTGCATTTTCCTGTCACACAAATAGTTACATATACAGGCTGTAATGATAAAAAAAAATAATCTGTGTTACTGCATTGCTGCCTCTTTCCTTTTCATATTTTTTTTCTGCCTGCAGTGTTAACCTGTAAGGGATACATGAGATCAGTGTAGAACAGATCTCACCAGTAAGACAGAAGAGATTTATCAGTGGAATAACATCTGTAGTTTCTTGGGTAAAAGTCTGAAATCTCTGAGGATCAGGCATGGAAGAGTCAGTAAAACCCGGAAAGCTCTTCCAGCTGAGAGTTGGCAGGAATGGTGGTAAAAAGCTTTTATCTGACCCAGTCTTGGGGGTGAGGTGATGGTGAATTCCATGCTCATGCACTGCAAAGAAATTTCCAGTTGATCCCTTCCCTGGGGAAGGAGCTCTGTCCCCTTGAGGCTTCAGACTTCTCTGGGTAATTAATCCATTGGGTCTGTGTCCTCAGGGAGAGATGAAAGAACTGTCGAGGGCTCCTGTGTTACACCTGATAAAGAAAGTCATTAGTGAGGCTTCAGATAGCCACATAAATTAAAAACCCTTGCATCCTCTTTCCTTAGTAATTAATAGATGAAGCCTTTAGGATTAAAGTTCTGTAAAAAATTGGGGAGACGCAGCTAGAAAAGCATTCTGTGTGAGTAGAATTCCTTTCTGAGAGTTTTATTTGCTTCTAAATTACTTTGACTTTCCTGTTGCCCCTGTTCTTCCTCCAATCCTGCTTGAGGTGTGGGCAGACGGGTGGTAAGGTAAAAACATTTTAGCACGCCTCACGTTCTGAAATTAAAGTGAAGATGTAGAGTTTGTTCTTTTAAATTCCTTTGATTCTAGAGGTGAAGAAGTGTTTCTGTGGCTGAAAAACTGACTGTTTCATTTGTAGTCAATTACCTTTTAAATGAGAATAAAATTGCAACCATTGGTGGGTAAAGAATGTTTGAATGCTCAATTCAGGAAGCAAAAGTTAGCCTGACTGTTAATTTTTTTTTTTTTTTTTTTTGTTTTGCCCCATGCATTTGATGATACCAGAATACTGTGGCCAAATTACCTCTCTCTCCTTTGCTGCTTTCCAAACTGGTGGTGTCCTATGCTAAACTTTTCCCCCTGATTTCCAGGTACAATGGATCCCTTCCAAATGGTGACAAGGGGCGCAGGAAAAGCAGATTTGCCCTTTATAAACGATCTAAAGCAAGTGGAGTTAAACCCAGCACTGTCCACGTCATCTCTACTCCTCAGACATCAAAGGTATGTGACACATATGGCAAATCCTGGTTTTTGATGATCCTGAGTGGAGAGCAGCTTGGGTATTGCTGCTGATTTACCTTGCTGCCAGTTTATTCTGTGCTTGTAGGATACTTTGGTTTAATGAAGAGGCTGCAGTGGATTTGCTTTCTGGGGTATATAGCTTTAATCCAGTTACCTGTTTAAAATAGGCTGTAAGCTCAGGTATGAGATAATCTGACCTTCCTGCCCCTGTTCAGAAATCTGGCTGTCAATGCTGACTGTTCTGAGCCATAGAGTACATGGGATAAAACCACAAAAAGTAGTTTAGTTTCTTTCTCACTGGAGTGATCCTTCCTCTTCAGGAAGATAACTGACATGCTGTAAAAAATATTCTGATCCCTTTAGGCCTTTCATTCTTCTTCCTAATAATGATACTATACAAATTTTTACCTGAAGTTTAGCGTGGGTGAAGGAGGAAAAGCAGCAAGGTTAACATATTAACGTAGTAACATATAAATATAGAACTGTCCAGTCAGAATTCTGCTGGTGGAATGGATTCAGGCTGTAAAAGCTCTTCCTATCTCTCTTCTTAAAGCAAGAAGTGAGAGTAGAGTTTATGGCAAACTGGAGGAGGAGGAGTTAAGTGGTGGCACTCATACAAGAGGGAAATGTACTTCACTGAAATATCTCTTGGGACAGAGAGAGAGAAAACTTCCACCATGCTCAGAAATGTGTTCTCTGACTTGAACCAAGAGAAGAATGTTGTTTAATACATAGTATGGCGTTGTTTTATTTTCTAATACACAGTATATGCCTAAACTTGTCAAAATACACGATGTCAGAGCTTGTTCTCTTTGAACATAGTATAGGGCTTGCCTGCTGCTGAGAAATGTGGAGTCTTTTGGATTAAAAGTTACAGGAAATATTTTACAGTTTTCTTGTTATCAAAATGAAAGCTTTTGTGAGTTAAATCATCCTGATGAAATCAACCTTCCGAATAGAGCTGTAGTATATGTTGGTAATTCTAGTTTGTTGCTTAAAATATAACAAATGGGAAAAAAAATGTGTTTTACATAGTGGATGAAAATATACACATGTTCTCACAGGATGATCTTAAGCATTTGGACTGCAGATAGTATTTCAGCATTTGAGTTGCAAAATATTTAAACACCTGGCAGACACCACAAGGAATCTGGTTAATGTTCGTCTGTGGTGTTATTGTAGTGCAGATAAAATATGTGTGCTGTACAAATTAGTGCCCTTATAAAGATAGCAGAGGATCTGGGACATTAAAGCCTTTCCTATGAGCGTTTGGATTTGGGTAGATGTGTCAAGTTGAATGTATTTTGCACTTTCTCTGAACCCTTAGAAAAGAGCTTTTGTGTACTTGTGCTGCTGTCTGGGGCAGGGCTGGTGGATGTGTGCCAGAACAGTGGTGCAGTGGCTCTCTGTGAGTGCTCTTCCATGCACAGAAAGGACACTTAACATTTTAAAGATGCTGTCATCAGCTTGTCTCACATCTTAGGCACCAGAGCCTGAATTGTTTTACTGAGAATTGTTTCTGTATGTAACTTGTGTAAATGCCTGAAGAAACCTAGTCTAATAAAGAGTGAGCTGCTTAGTTCTTAGAAAATAATGGGCAACTTGACCTCAGAAGTTTAGTTGTGCTCTCAGTTTTTCAGTCTTGTATTTAAGAAAGATAAACCAGCAGAGACTTGTGCTGCATAGGATGTTACAAGAGTTTCCTCCCTTTACATCCTTCATTTTAACTTTTCAGATACCAATTTTCTGTTTTGTTCTGCTTGTCTGTCACTGTAAACTGAATCTGTGGGTAAAAAGGCAAGTGCAGAGCACTGATGCTTTTTTGGGTGGTGGATTTAGCAGAGGAGGGAGAAGCCCTGACTGCCTCCATTGGTTTTGTCTCTGACAAACAGAGGCTTGAATAAGGTGCACGGCTGGTTTTGTGCTGATTGCATTAATGCAGCAGCTCAAGAACTGTAGCTGTCACCAATTTTAAGTTCATGTGTCAGCCTGAACACTGCAATAGATGGAAAGAGGATGCTTGTCATGTTCCATTGTCCCTGCTGTGCAGGTGTCAAGGACAGCTGGAGTAGCAATGGCTTCAGTAGTAAATTTAGCTGAGCTAATTGCATATGAATCACTGCCTTTTGTTTTTTTCCACTGAGAGCTTGTTTTTTGCCACTCTGCCTTCTGAGGTGCTGAAGAAAATTCAGAAATATTTGGCCTTCTGAGGGTATATGGATATATTTCGGGGAAAAGCAGTGCATAGGGTAGTAAGTTTAAAGTTTTTTCAGAGCTGTTGTCATTGTTAAAATACAGAGGAATCTCTTCAACATTATGCACTGGACTTTAAAACCTATTTTATTAACTCTGTACTTAGGCACCACTCAGTAAATTTTGTCGTGTCCCCTGTTTGATTTTTTTCCAGCATTGTCAGAATTGGTTTTACTGTAAGAAAGAGCTTAAAACTCTTCTGCTGTCCTAATCTTGTCTGTGTGGATATGTCTGGGATAGAGGTTTGGGGAATGGGGGACTGTGAGTCTTCATAAACTGAGTAAGGATCTTTCTCAAGATTTTAATAATCCCCTTTGCTGAATTAGAGTTTTTTTCAAAATCATCCCATCACAGGGGAGGCCATTCCTTGCCTCTTGACCTGGGTCTCATGATGAAGAGGAAGGTTTATCAGCCACAATAACAGAATTTGTGAAAACCTTCCCCTGACTACCAAACTCTCAGGTGTAAGTTTGCTGTTGTCTCATCATAGGGTTGGTGGTTTTTATTTTCAAGCTTCTGGAGCTGTTTAACAAAGTCAAGTCAGTTGTAATGTTTATTTCATTTAGTTGAGTTGTGTTGACTGTTGTTTTCATGGACAATATTTAATGTTTTGAAACTCCAGTCAGTGTCTGCTGGTGTCTGCAATGATTACAGGGTTTACTTGGGCAGAAATTTTCCAGTAAGTGCTGAACTTCAGGTGAGAGTGGGATAAAAGGTTGTCTTTAGAATAATCACCTGGAAATGATGGGATGCTGAACTGGATTTCTCTGGGTTTTGGGAGGAATAGGGGAGGCCTTCATAAGAGTTTCTTGCATTTTGAGAGTTTGTGACATTTTTTTTTTAGTTGGGGATATTTGTGTCTGACAGGGAAAGAGGTGTCTGACTGAAAATGAAACCGGCTTAATACCATAATATTTGTAATAATATGAAACTGGCTTAGTACCATAACATTTGGAATAATACTTGAGGACAGTATGTTTTCTTACAGATCTTAAGCAGGTCAGTAGTATGCTGTGGAAATACGACTGTATGATCCCAAATCCTGCAAAGTGTGGATGGTCCTGTTCCAGTCCACATCCAGTCTCTTGAGTTAAGGCTCTCCAGGTTAACACTTTTTCCTGTACAAGCACAGGTGAATCTTCACTCCTCATTGCTCTTCTTCATGACCATCCCCGGCTTCTTGCTGGATGTTGTTAGTTGGGATTCTTTTTGTGGAGCAGTGGGAGAGAACTGCCCCAGTCTCATATGAGAGGGGTGCTGGCAGCTGGCATTAGCACTGAGCTCACTGGTGTTACTGGGAACTCTGATCTTGGAACTCCCCATGACTTTGGCTCTGCAAGCATTTTGATTTCTCTGTTGGCTTCTGGTGCTTCAGAATAATTTCCATGGGCGTGAAGTTTAGAGAAATGAAGAAGGGACTTCATGTACATTTGGACTACTTGAAGTATGGCATTAGGAAGCAGGAACTGTTGACAGTAGCACTCCAGGATTCCTCTGGAAATGTGACAGAATTTCCTTGTTACAGCATGGATGGTAATTGAGACTTTCCAAAGTTTTGAGTCAGTGGGCAAAAGAATATAACTGCTGAGCATTGGAAGTACTCCTTTTTAATCAGAGACTGTTGGACTTTCTTAAGTGATTGCATGTGTAATAGGGACTCCAGAAAAGATTCAAAATGCCTTTTAAACTGCTGAAGACTTGAAATACCCCACATTTAATACCTTTTTATGGCGGTGTGTCTTGGTATTTATTATGTCTGTCTGTCTTAGGATCAAAGTTTTCCTTTGGTAACCTGTGGTAGATAAAGGCAATGTATTTTCTCCCCTATGAAATTACTATTTCAAGCTGACTGAGGAAGATCTCTCTTGACTTCCAAGTCCAGTTACCTGCCGAGTTGGCTTCTGCTTTGTGCTATCACAACAGCAGCTTGGATAGTCACTGGCTGGGTTCCTGCAGTTCTAATCAAGTTTCCTGCTGCTGCTGGAGAAGAACAAAACACAGCCATACGAATAATTATTAGGTCGGGGAGAGAGCTGCAATTTGTGCTTTGAGTGACGAGAGAAAATGAAAGTATAGGATTCTTGTGATTAGTTATCTACTGTAGCTACTGCATCTGCTTTGACACACTTTGAATTGGAGTAAAAAGGCCACAAATCCTTTTGGCACTGAGCTTTTTGGTGCTCATTCTGAATGAGAGCTGTAGAGCTCAGCTGCTGTCGGGAGGATGCTGTGTCTGTCAGTGGCTTCTCTCTTTCCTGTTGGGCTTATTTATGGTCTAATCAGTTCATGGAGCACTAATTTGTTCTGAAGTGACTTAATCGCATAGGTGTCTCGAGAGCACTGGCTTGTGCAGAAACAGCTTTTTCTTGGCTCATCAGACTGAATCTGCTTGAATAATAGTTTCCTTGGCGTAATGTCCTTTTCTTCTATTAAATGAGCATCATTTTAACGTGCTAACTCCCTACCCCATGTCCTTGCAAATAGCAGGGAATGGTTAGGCAGGAGAAGATGGTTACACCAATTTCACTGGTAGGGCTGAATAAATAACAACCCTTACTCGGTTTGAAACCCTCCCTCCCGAGCTTTTGGGTCCTGTGGAGCAGAATGCATGTCAAAGGTTTTGGAAAGTCATTTTATAGTGTTTTCTAACAAAACCCAGATGTTTAGTGAAGGAATAGGAATTAAAAATTGCTGAGGTCTACAGCAATTATTTTTTTATGACTTAA